AGAGATTTAGCTTTAGTGACACATATATAATGTATAGCTTACAATTGTTTAATAAAGTACACATAACTAGCCTGACAAAGGGTTATATTAAAAAAATAAATAAATAAAACATAAACAATTGACTTTGATTCATATGTACAGTATACAGTATATATGGTATTTATTAGATATTTTAAGTTTAATACTTGCTAATTAAAAAAATCATTGGTTTTGATAACTTGTTCATAATAATTTTCTTGGTGAAATTAGTATTCGATTAGCCAAATCATATTTTAAAAGTATTTACTTTAATCCAAGAACCAATTTAATTTAATCCGTATTCGATAGTATTAAGAATACATTAATACCCGAAAACAGAAGTTCTTATGCTGAAGGTATTCAAAACCAAGGATGACATTCTATCCATTAAAACGATAACAGAGAACAATGGCGAATATAACGCTCTCTCGAGAAAACCGATTTGACGTTTTCTCGATGCCCGGTTTTGAATGCGGTATGTTAGATTCGTCGCATAGCATATATTGTTTTGCTTATATAAAATATAACAGTTAAAAAAGTATAAATTATATAGATTTCAACTTCATGAAATATATTGTTAAATTGTAAAAATATAAAATTTTAAATTCTTTTATTTTCTATGAAAGTATTGTTCATTCTATTTAAAAGAGGCAAAAAAAAAATAATACTACATATTATGAATATAAAAATTTAAAATAAAACTTGTTATTGAAAAGGAAACTGCCTTCAAAAAATCACATGATCTCGGCCTTGTTCGTTCGTATTTTCTAGATGTGGAATGAGTAAAGAACCGATTAAATCAAAAATGGTCCATGCCGGAGTAGATTCGCCAGGAATTGGAAAAAAAAAACATATTCAAATGTTCCGGAGTGTGTTTCCTTTTTTATTTAAACACGTGACAAATTTACCCATACAGAGGAATTACATTACATATTAGCCACGAAAGGTAATTCCTGGCGCGATCAGGTATGACAGTCCTACAACAGGTTGAAATTATGTGTGGCTTGTAAAACATTCACCTTTAGAATACATCGAATTTTTTTCAACATCCTTTTCAATTTTTCCTAAACTCTATAGGTTGAATTTTCTCAAATGTACTTGTGTCTATTAGCTCTGCATATATCTTGACAAATCTAAGCTTGGAATTCTACTTCTTTGCGATAACGAGATGGTATTCTTATATAAAGATCTTCCTTCACAAGCGGAAAAGGCAAAACAGAACTTCGAAGAGATTACTCGTTCCCTTTATAGGGGAAAGGGTGTTGGGAATGTCAGTCATGTAGAAGATTACAGATGTAATTGCAAATACAAGCCGGGTAAAGACAACATAAGAAAGGCCTGTGGTGAGAATGCTGGGTGCGTGAATCGTGAGCTATTCATAGAATGCTTGGAGAATGACTGTCCCTGCGGAGATCATTGTCAGAACCAAAGGTATGCAATTTTGAAGAGGGATTGAAGGGATTTCGGTAATTTTCGGGAGAGGAAAATCTTCAAAGAATCATATTATCTAATTTATTGATATTGGGAATTTAAGAACGAACAAAGTCATAATTCAAAAATGTCATTGTTCATTGGGATTATGTCTAAAGTTTTAGATGAATGGGTGAAAGTGAATTTTGTTAATAGCATTCATTAAGTAAATTGAATGGGTTGTGTCGTGAGCGAAGGTATATTACATTTCATTTATCATTATGGTAATAATTAATGTTTTAATATTAATTTAGATTTCAAAAGGCAGAGTATGCTAAAGTCGACGTCATAAATTTACCCCTCAAAGGATACGGTCTAAGAGCGATGGAATCATTGTGCAGGAATCAGTTCGTAATGGAATACCTTGGGGAAGTAATTAAACACGACGTGTTTCAGAGGCGCATGAAACAGTATAGCGATGAAGGTCTGAAGCATTTCTACTTCATGTCACTTCAAGCCGGGGAGGTGATCGATGCCACAGGGAAGGGTTGTGTTGCCCGATTTATGAATCATTCTTGTGCGCCGAATTGTTATATTCAAAAATGGATGGTTGGAGACAAGTATCGAATCGGCATATTCACACTTCGAGATGTTCAAGAGGGCGAAGAATTGACGTTCGATTATAATGCTGATCGTTATGGGTGAGTGTCTTTCGCCGTTTACCATTTCTATTGCACACGACATTTATGCTTCGCCACTTATCCTCCGACCACTCAGATCTGAAGCGCAGGCGTGCCACTGTGGAGAGACCGAGTGCCGTGGTATAATCGGAGGGACCAAAGAGACCAGCGATAGCATCTTGTCGCAAGATGCCATCGAGGCAGACCTGCTGAAGCCCATACAGAGTACAGATGACGTCTTACCATTCATCGGTTTAATGTTGCGCTCCATCGATAAGCGCGGAATGGTACCAGGCTTGCTTTATCGATTGAGGATCACCAATGATGTTCGTATACTCAAGATGTTTATGAAACTTCACGGCTCAATAATGTTAAAAACGTATTTAAGAGAGCATCAAGACAATGACGACATACTCGAGAAGACGCTCGTAATTGCTGATAAGCTACCGTATAAATACAAAAATCGTCGTGTCGAGACATCACACCTCAAAGAATGGGTGGAGAAATTGTCAAGCCGTGACGATCGGATTGGAAAGATCTGCCAAGAGTTGCTCGAAAAGTGGAACAACCTTCCGGAATTCTACAAGATTCCAAAGTATAGCGAATTGGGTCTCGTTCCACCGACGGCGATGAAGGGAGAAGACGGAGATGCCATGGATGTCGATGTCGAAAAAGAATCAAAATCGCCGGATAACAAGGAAAAGAACACGGAAAATGGAGATTCAAGTCGAGCGGATGAATCAATTCCCGAATATGAATTCTACAATTATCAATCGAGCCACGATTACTTTGTTCGCTTCACCGACAGTCACTTTCCATTTCAATACATCTCACAAATGGACTATTGGATATTGCAAAAACTCGGACCATATAAGGCGGTCATCACACGAAACTCATCATCATCACATCCTAGCGATGGTCAGAACGGCGATCCCGGCTCATCGAGATATTGGCGAAAGAACCGATATGGATCTCGTTCACCTAAGCAACCGGCCCTACCTCCCCTCGCACCAAATTGGTTTGAGACCACCGACGAATATGGGAACACGTATTATTACAATAAGTATACCAAGGAGACGTCATGGGAGAGACCTATTGTGAAGGATGACATGAAAACAATTGATGGTTTTAGCAAGGCCGAAATTCAGGGTATCATTGAGAGAGCCGAGGCCATGGCCAGAAAGGCGGAAAAAGAGAGGGAGCGAGCAGCACGGGAGAAGGCGGAGAGTAATAAAGTCGGTGGTGAACAAGTATCCACGACAAATGCTCTCAGCGAGAGCGATTTCCGAAGTGCAATTAAGCAACTGGTAGTTGATTACTGCAGTCGCTTCAAGCGTCACATGGACGTACCGACTTTCAAAAAGCATGCAAGAAATTGCGCGCACGTCGTTCAAGATAAGGAGCTCAAGCGATCCGAGTGGACGGATAAGACGTTATATAGCATGTCGGACAGTTGTAAAACTAGAATTAAGAATTTTACAATTGAGTGGATGAAGAAGCTAGTCGCGCATATGAAAGCCGAAGCCGAAGAGAAGAAGAACGAACAAGGTAGGATGAACAAAGACGATCTTGAAGAATCAAATAATCAAAAAACGGTGACACACTTTGAAGCGAAATTTGAAAGGAAGAGATCAGAACATTATAAAAACAATGAAGATCGGGTTAGGGTAGGGCAAAAGGGGGTCATATCCGAAACCGAGAATGTACAGAAACTGATTGAAATTGTAAAATCAGAAAATGAAGAAAAGACCGGAGACAAGCGAAAAAGGGGTGACGAAGATCGGGACGAACAGTCGAGGCAGAAGATAGTTAGAACTGACCACGAGCTCACAAATGAGAAACACGCGCACTATTTCTCCAGCCGAACAAGGGATAATGGGGATCCCGAAAATCCAAAGATCGAGGCCACTGTCGGCGACAAATTGGAGAAGGAAACAAAGAAAAGCGAAAAACGGAAGTGGTTCGGATAGCGAAGAGCATAAACGTAAACGGGAAGCCTTGAAGGCAACGAGGTTACAATATCAATGAAACATTCTTTGGGTGATAAAACCCTAATTCCTTTTTTTTTTTTTTTTGGTTTGCAGCGTTTCAAACTTGCAATGTTATGTGAGGAAGCAACTAACGGTTATATGATTGCTGAAAAGGAAAAGATCTTATTTGTATGCAAAATAATTCATTAATTGCCAAATCCAAATCTACTTGCTAGATAGTAAATAATTATTATTTGTAGATGTTGAATTCACATCGAACCCATGAAAATTCTAATAAAACCAACGTTAATTAAATGTAAAGTTATCGTAGTAAATCAAGTTTCATTTGGTAAGACGTTCAAATATTTATGTCAATGGTGGTGTGCTGTTGTCAAGCATTTTCGCAAACGTTTTTAATGATCAAGTTTATTGCGCACATGCAAAAACAAAGGTTCCAATTTCATTCGGGCACATGGACAACGAACGGCTAAGAAAATTTTGATCGAACAAGGCTTAACAACCGGCGGTACGCTTTCAATTAAGAAAAAAGAAAGAAAGAAAGAAAAAGGCAAAAATCCGTTTTCCTTCATCTGCCTCGTTGTTCTTTTTATGGTTCACGGTTCATTCAAAGAAAAGAAACAAGAAAAAAAAAAAAACAAACAAACAAATGAAAAATGTCTGGATATCCCGTCAAAGGATTCTCTCCTTGGTAACGATGGCTTAGAGCCTTTTTTCTTCTTCGTATCATGATATGCACGGATTGAAGACGCAAACTTGAGGCTCGTGTTTATATATTATTATACATTATACGGTATATGTATGCAAGCAAGTCAAATTTTCGTAAAAATTAGAATGTACAGTGTGCCAGCGTTAAGGGTAATAACGGTGTGCTAAAATTCTTCACACCAGTGCCAATGCCTGTAAGAGTTTGGATGGTGTTGGTGTAAAGTCACCAGGTTACATGAAAAATATCCTCCGAATGCGTTCTATGAATCATAAAAATAAAAGGTTCTTGAAGAGTGTCACTGATGATAGAGCGCACGCTTGTACGACATTAAAATGCAAAATTATTATTAAAGTGGAATTTGCGGAAAGCAAAAGACAAGAGCATCTCATAAGATTATATCATCAGAATTGTCGGTGTCATCAGGAAATAAATCTTCGACTCCGGGCAAATTGTTTTTTCTGGCCAACCGGATTGCCAGATCTCGATTGTTTAGATTGTTGCGAATGTGAGTGATGATATACGCTTCATCTATCTCTACGGACAGAATCTGCGTGGAACGTTAAAATTTATTAGAGGTCGGATTCCTTCTTGAGGAATTTTGAGCAAGTTCTCAAAGTACCTGTCCAGTCCGATTCACCCCAACAATTCCTCCCAAATCATCTGGGACCGACGCGAAAACGCTTGAGAGACTAATCCGCTCCACGTAAATGCATATCCCGGTCTCCAGGTCGAATAGTTGAACGTAGCCGTTTTTTGTTAGCAGGAAGATTAGATAGTATTTCTTGCTAACCCGTATCGATATGGGAAAGTCGTTGGTGTCTTCCGATTGGCAAAAGATGTCAACTGTCTTGTCCGGTATCACCGGGTTCTCCTCTCGGTGATCCATCTCCGTTATGTGAAGCTGAACAAAGAATAACGAGTGTCACGCGTTAACGAGGGAGGCAAACAGGTTTCAACCTCTCGTGACGTCTTGATGAACCATCCTCAGCATACTGTATATACCTTCGAAGAATCTTGATCACGCGCGCCATAAATAAAAAATTTCGTGGGATATATTCCGCGCTCCACCATCACCGACGTAAACATCGCAGCGTGACCCTGTATTATTCTATCCTTATCGGTACCTCTCTTGTGGAGTTGCATGAGCCCAATTATGTTCCCATCCTAAAGGCGTAAAGCGATTACCATCTTTTACTTTGAACGCCAATCGGAAATTTAATTTCGACGAGATTTTTTTACCATCACCTTCACCCCAACCACGAGCATCCACTTTTCTTCGGCGTCCACGAGATAGTCGATGATCTCATCGCAATTCTTCGTGTCAGCATGTCTATCAAAAATTTTCGCGGGGGTGGTGGTTCCGTCCAGTGACCAGTGATACACGGAGTTCTTGGTCACGACGCAAAGTTTCTTCACGCTCACCCACCTCCAGAATACGACTTCCTCGTGCATCACGTGAGTCTTCACATTGGTATTTAGATATAGATTATACATTTGCAAGTTGCGACGTTCTAGGGGAATGAGAGGCAAAGAGATTCAAGGATATACCCCGGTGACGACGGCTCAATGGAAAATGAATCGACACAGGTTACCAACCCCTCAACGCGACAATCTTACTCCTGGGGTGCATGAGAGCAGCGTCTACCTTGAACGGTCTTCGAATTAGATTATTCGATTCGAATCGATCTATTATCGACACCCGACTCTCCTCGCAAACACATATGAACCTTTCGGTCTCCATGGTCACCCATCTAAACCCAATTCTCGAGGGATCGACATCATAATCTTGAAGCTACCGGAATATTTGGCGTAAATTTGTTTGTGTCAATTCTTCAAACGAAATAGGTCGAGTTGAAGAAACCACCCTGCCGTGTTCCAAAATTTTGATGGGCATGCGTTCGCCCATGGGGAATGAAGCGAGAATGATTGACGCAAGAGCCAGAATTGGTTATAAGCGTGATGCCAATGCAAACTATCATCATACGTAATTCTATGATGAAATATCATCTTTGGTGGCGCAGCCGTCAGCGCAATAAGGTCACGCGCGCGAAAGAGAATGATTGGAGATGTGACGAATTAAGAAAAAATAGATAAATAAATAAATTAATCAAGAATGGATGGTCATTGAAAGTTTATTTTACAAAACGAGACGTTGTCACATGATCACAGAGTTTGGCAGAGGCGTTCTCATGTCCCGGAATGGTTAAATGTTTCAACAATGAAACAAAGTTTTATTACGAGACCATTCTAAACATGCACGCATGTGTCTTTTTTTTTCTTTTCATGACGAACCATTTTAGGTAATTTAAAATAAAGTTAATTTGTGACCACCGTAAATAACACAACGTTGCCGCCGTAACGCAACAATATTTATCATTTATTATCTCGAGATCGCCACTGAGAGAGTCTTCCATTCTATGATGAATTTATTCTATCCGGGTAATGTTTATGTGATAAAAAAAAACGCCATACAAGTTTAAATTTAAACAGTAATGCATTCTCAGGAGGTACAATTGAGAAACGAGGCACCGATGAGTCCTCTTTTACAACGGTATAAATGGATCAAGTGTTCAAAGAGAAATAATAATAATAATAATAATAATAATAATAATAATAGTAATAGTAATAAATTATTGTTTTTGTTGTCTTTATTATTGTTGTTGTTATTTCTTGGGGGTTTTTTTTTCTCCTCTCGTTCCGAAATTCTGGACTTTTGATTTTAACAAATAGAAATGACCGTAGGACCTTGTTTAATCGTAACCATTAGTGTGGCAGCACTTCTGGTGGTACTGGTCAGCTTTTCCACCGCTGATGTTGGGAAATCACTTCAGCAAGCGATCTCGCCTCATTCCGGCTATCCAGTGTGGCATCCTCCGATCGAAGGTAATCAATCAACCGACGGGAATATGATTCAAAGGAAGGATGCGATTTAACTTGTGCATAATCTTTCGTCTCCCCGCTAGACTTTGATCCACAATTGTATGACACGGCAATCTTCTTTAACCTCATCTCGGAAGTACTGAGTACCTATTTTATCTTCAAGTGGGTGACTTCGAGTGAGAAAAAGCATGCCACCTATTTCGTTTTGGATGATACCAGAACGGCTACGACCGACAAATTCAATTATCTTTTGGGCGCCTATTGCCTCTTCACTTCTATTAACGCGGTGGTAATCCTCTGGTTCGACGTGGGAAAGTTCTGGAGCGACGTCGGTGTACTTCACAATGCGTGCGAAGTCTTGATAATGTTAACAATGCATCAGGGCGGAAGGCTTACCTCGAATACCTCTGTCGGGTGGCTGGGATTCTATGTATTTTTGGTCTCCGCCCTGTGTCTGTTACTCAAATGGCCTTATGATGCGGCTTGGTTTAAGATGCAAGGTAAGTTGTGTAATTTCGATGCGGATTGTCAGTCAACATTGAACCAAATTAAACTCTGCTGTGACGAAACCAAAAGGGCTCTGTTCCGACTTCGCCCTTTTCGCCCAATTCGTACGAATGTACGTTACCACGAAACGTCACTTGCGAGATGGTCACTCTGAAAGGAGACCTCTTAATAACAATGTGGATGCAGCGGAGACAGCTGTGGAACTTCACCATCCACCCGAAAATTCTGGAATTGTTCATCCGTATCAAATATTGTTTTTGGTCGTCGCTTCGTTTTTCCACATCCTTGGCAATATCCTGGTGACTTTCTATGTTGCAAAGATGAATGCGTGAGTATTATTCATTCATCCCATTTCTTTTGATCACGGATCACAAGATTAACGAATTCTTTATTCCATTCTCGATCAGCTACCTTTTATTCTTCTTGACGTACAGCATCACATACCCGACCTACGCGTACTTTGTCTACCTGACCTACAACTCTCCTTCCATTCATCAAAACAAGCTCATTTACTTACCCGACACCGCCGGCTGGAAGGTGGCCACCGTGACGATCTCCGCGATTACACTTTCACTCTTGACCATGCGGTTAGCCGTTTTGACACAATAACATTTGAAAGAATCGATTTTAAGAAGAAGAAGAAAAAGAGAAATGGGGGTTTTTTTTTTTTTTTTACCGCATGTGGGCATGCGCGTATATGTGTAGCATAGTGTAGAATACGTTTGTAATTAACATTCATTCCAAGTTTGTGTCATACCTCGCCATCGTTGTCATTTTGCTCAATTTATATTTAAAAATAAAATTGTCATCATTTTATGCGTCCCGAGGAAACAACATACGTAATAACCGAATGAATAAAAAGAAAAAGAAAAAGAGGGTATCATACACGTATATTACAGCAGGCAAAAACATCCTCCCCATGCGATATCTACATTTATCTATTTATTTCTTGGTCTATTGGTTTATCTATTTCTCAATCGTTTCGGTTGATTGTCTATGCGAGCTGCTATTATTATTATCATTATTATACTATCATCATTATTATTACTATTATTAGTGTTTTGTCGTGATAGGACGGTTGGAGACGAATGGTTTCTACTTCCTAATCCTGGGTGATGGAGATTGTGAGGTGGAGGTGAGAACGAGGAAATCAGGATTCGGCAGCAAGGTATTGGATGGGAAGTGAAACGACGGCGACGAGGACCCTTCGATATCACGTGTCGAATGAGGTCTATAAGGTGAAGGTGGTGTGAGCGGGGGAGTGAATACGTCCATGGGTATAGATTCGTAGACTTGTTTGGAATTCACTGGACGGCTCACGTCCTCTTGTACATCCACATACCAACTCTGACATTCATTTCGAGATGAATTCCGAGATGACCAAGGACTGTTCTCAGTGACCGGAATGTATTTCGACCACCGCTTGCTCGGCGGTTCTAAAAAGTTACTTCTCGCCGTTTTACTGGTGGCCGAGGAGGAAACGCCTTTTGAATTCAACTCGTTTTCCGTACTTGAGGATGGATAGAAGATCAGGATCAACGTGACGTACACGATCCAGAGTGTGAAGTTGACGTGACAGAATAAGATGTCGGCGGAGAATTTGTGAGAGTTCAGGTACCTCGTGGGAGTGAGTCCGTCGATACACAGAATTGTCAGGGAAGCGGATCCGAGGAAAAGGGCACATGACAAGTACTGATTCATTTCCTGTGTTATCATTATCGATATTATCGATCGGCTTGTTAGCAATTGAATTCACGTGCAGAACACATGATACGGCGCTCCGTTCGAAGTGCGTGCATACGTACCCTAAAATACTCCAATTTTGTGACGATGTGTATTTTTGAGACTGTGCTTTTCCTGGTTTTATTCAATAATCCCGTGAACCTCCAGTGCGATCGAACACCCAGCAGTCCAATTAAAAGCATGATTGTACCAAACGCCAATTGAGGTATTATCTCGGTGTACAGATCGTTATCCCGGAATGTCCACTGCAGAATTGGAAACAAGATCGCGCTGAATATGGAGTATGCGATGTAAGATTTGAACTCT